AGAGAGTATCTATTCTTTGCGAGTACCTCGACGTCTTTCCTGATGACTTACCCGGAGGACCACCCGACCGCCAGGTGGAGTTCACCATTGACCTAATTCCAGGAGGCGGCCCCGTTTCTAAGGCCCCTTACCGTATGGCGCCGAAGGAGCTTCAAGAGCTCATGGCCCAGATCCAGGAGTTGCTCAAGCTCGGTTTTATTCGTCCGAGTGTCTCACTGTGGGGTGCGCTCGTCCTATTCGTGAAGAAGAAAGACGGATCTATGCGCATGTGCATTGACTACCGGGAGTTGAATGCCCTTACAGTCAAGAACAAGTACCCCCTTCCCCGTATTGAGGACCTTTTCGACCAGCTGAGAGGAGCTAGCATCTTCTCAATGATTGATTTGCGTTCTGGCTATCATCAGCTGAAGATCCGAGAGTCTGATATTTCCAAGACTGCTTTCCGTACCCGCTATGGCCACTATGAGTTCGTAGTCATGCCCTTCGAACTCAGTAATGCCCCAGCCGTTTTCATGGACCTTATGAATAGGGTCTTCCATCCTTTTCTGGACCAGTTCGTCATTGTGTTTATCGACGACATTCTGGTTTATTCCCGAGATATAGATCAGCACAAGGAGCATCTGAGGATTGTGCTGGAGACTCTTCGCCGCGAGAAGTTGTATGCTAAGTTCTCGAAGTGCGAGTTCTGGTTGAACCGCGTGGCATTCCTTGGCCACATTGTGACAGCGAGAGGCATTGAAGTGGATCCCAGCAAGATTGAGGCGGTGAGTAAGTGGGATACGCCGAGAAGTGCAACGGATGTTCGTAGTTTTCTGGGGTTAGCAGGATACTACAGGAGGTTTATCGAGGGCTTCTCGAAGATAGCCCAACCGCTGACCAACCTTACGAAGAAGGCTGTGAGGTTTGTTTGGAGTCCTCAATGCGAGGAGAGTTTCCAGGAGTTGAAGAGGAGACTCACTACCGCGCCTGTTCTATCTATACCCGATCCTACTTTGGAGTTTACGATCTATAGTGATGCTTCGAAGATGGGTTTGGGATGTGTCCTTATGCAGAAGCGGAAAGTCGTAGCCTATGCTTCGAGGCAGCTGAAGCCTCACGAGCAGAACTACCCCACTCATGATCTCGAGTTAGCTGCAGTTGTCCACGCTTTGAAGATTTGGCGGCACTATCTCTATGGAGGCAAGTGTGAGATCTTTACCGACCACAAGAGCCTAAAGTACATCTTCACTCAGAAGGAGCTGAACATGAGACAACGCAGGTGGTTGGAGCTGGTCAAGGACTACGACTGCACCATTAGCTATCATCTTGGGAAAGCTAATGTAGTAGCCGATGCCCTTAGTCGGAGGAGTTATGGCCAGCTATCTTGCTTGTTTACCAGGCATGATGTTCTTCTTCGGGAGTTCGAGCAATTACAGTTGGTGGCAGTGGAGTCGACTTCGACAGTCGGGGGCGTATTGGCCTCTTTGGTTGTGGGACCGACTCTTCGAGAGAGGATAGTCGCCGAGCAACCGAATGACCGTTTCTTGTGCCGGATGAGGGAGTTGTCAGCAGCTGGTAGAATTGGTGGTTTCGCAGTCGCATCTGATGGAGCCTTGGTCTTCGAGGGTAGGCTTTGTTTTCCGAGGGTGTGGGAACTGCGGAGAGAGAGATTTTGAGAGAGGCCCATAGTGCCCCGTACACCATCCATCCTGGTAGCACGAAGATGTATCAGGATCTGAGGAAGTCTTTCTGGTGGCGAGGCATGAAGAGGCAAGTAGCGATGTTCGTGGATGGGTGTCTGGTGTGTCAGCAAGTGAAGGCTGAGCGCCAGAAACCGAGAGGGTTATTACAGCCCCTCGAGGTTCCCATGTGGAAGTGGGAGTGCATCACCATGGATTTCCTGGTAGGATTGCCGAGATCAAGGAGCGGGTATGATTCGATTTGGGTGATAGTGGATCACCTTACGAAGTCTGCCCATTTTCTGCCAGTCCGGACGACCATGAAGGCAAGTGATTACGCCGAATTGTTCGTCAAGGACATTGTTAAACTTCATGGAGTGCCCGTGGAGA